GTTCCTGTTTTCCTCCCTGTCTGCGAAGATGTTTATCAAAGGTGTGGAGAAGACTCTTTCTTTTCCCCTTTTAATTTCAAAAAAAAGCCAACCCCAAATGAAACCAAAATCCTCACTTTTTTTTTTTTTTTTTCATTTAAATAAAACTCGTATTGTTTTAGAAGCGTGTAATGCTTTGTTCTGTGAGGAAAGCCTGGCGTTGGTAGCCCTTTGGGTGACAGGAAGATGCGGCCTGCTCTCGCTGGTGTGGAGTAGAAAAGGTGGCTTGCTGCTCTTGTAGTCTCTTCAGGACATGCCCCTGTGTTGGAGATTAAAATTATGGCAAGGATGGGGAAAACAGCTTCTGGCATTGTCTTCCACTGGCGTCGACTCTGCTGGAGGAGGACAGGCCTTGCGTTTGCTGTACCCGCTGTGGCAGAACCTGGCCGAGTCCTGGTTACATCAGAGTTGACGTGCAAGCATTGTGTTCTTTGCCGTTGTGTTGGAAATTTGAAATAATCTGTTTTGCCCAGCCAAAGCAGATGTGTTTGATAGAAAATGCAAGGGGATAAAGGAATAGGGATGAGAACATCCCCAGAGCAGTACCACAGAAACCCTGGGCGTGAGCCTGATGCCCAGGATGTGACTAGAGGTGATGGGAGAAGTGTTTGGGTCCAGTGGTGATCAGAGGATGCGTCTTTTCCGGATGAAGGCAAGGAAGAAGCTGGAATCCAAAAGCAGATCTGTATGACCTATGGCTTGGGTAGCAGCGATGGCAGCACTTGTTCCCTCCAGGCCAGTCACCACAGTTCATAGTCCAATGTCCACGAAGAGTTGCTAACCTAAAAGTAAACAGTGCCTTGAAGTGACTTTCAACCCTATACAGGTCCTGTGATTTCACCTCTTTGTCATGCTGCTGATCATTAACGTTGGCAAGAGCCTTGCTTCCTTATCGTTGTTATTTTATCCTAAAAATTTGATGTATTTTACTGTGTCTTATCTTTTGCCAACTTTTATAAACTTTATTCTGTAGCAGGGTGATCAAGATTTTTTTTGTTGTGGCTTTGGCATAGCACTAAATGTTCTGTGAAATAAATTATATTTTATTTGGGCATATTTGCAGTTAACTGAATGCTGTGTTTTGGGTTTGTTTTGTTTTTTTGTGGAGAAGGTCAAGTGGCTCCAAATGCTTAAAAAAAATCCCATTTGATCACAATTTGCTGTCAAATGAGACAGAAGAGTATTGCAATAGACTTCATGGCAATCTTGCAAGGATAACATGCTCATTAAATCGAATGTAACCGATGCAAGGTTTAAAGTTAGGCTATATGCTTGCTTTTTGCATTTTGGTAGTATATTGTCTAAAGACAGATGCTGATATAAAGCTAAAAACTTTTGGTTTCCATGCCCAAAGATGAAGTTGTAGTTGGCTTGTCACACAGAGCACAGTAGTTACAGCAGTTCTATTTTATCTTAAACTGAGATGGTGCTGTACATAATGAGTTTTGTTGTATTCCTCTTGGGAGCTGTGCATCGTCACATCAGGAGGTACTGCTGATTTCTGTGTAACTGGCTCCCGTGGCATATAGAGGCAGGTATTCCTCAACACTAATTAAATGAGCTAGACTAAATTCATAGGGCCAGCCTGGGAAGTAGACACCCTAGGCAAATGCCAAGGACACTGAAACTAAGTAAAAATTTTCCTGATGTATCAATTTAAAAGCTCTCCCCTAAGAGTGAGGTCAGGTGTATCCCATGACATGATTGTTCCATGGAAAGCTGATACCCTGAAAGTGGTTGCCACAAAATTTACATCAGGAAAGGGGGCAGGTCAGATGGAAATATTGGTGCTGTTTATGATGGAGGTGTGCTATGGATTTTATTGTCTGATCTTCAGCTTCAGTTATATTTTTGTTAAAACCTGAAATTCCTTAGAAATACATTTGACGTAATACATATCAAGGAAGTAAGTAACAGCTTGCATATGTAGTTTTAAAAAATTCTAAGCCTATCTTAATACAGAATAAAAATAATTTAGGAATGATTGTAAGTCCTTTTGGGTCTTTCAGTAGGACCAAGTGTCTCTACTTCCCTGGACTAGTTCATTTCTTCTTGAACAAGTTTAAGCCTGCATATGCAAAAACTCATAAATGTAACAGATAATTTAGTTTTTTAAAACTTGCCTTAAAACTTTGTCTGCTTTCACATTTTTCAGAAAGTATTTTTTTTATGTGCCCCTAACTGTACCAGCCCTGCAACTGCATTTCTACTTGCTACGTTTATTTTCCTGATAGAAGTTTTTTTCATGTTCTCCCGTGCTTCACTGTTTTGTAGACTTTCGTACAAAGCAATTAATCCCAGGTCAGTTTTACCTTGGGGGTCTTTTGCCAGGTACAAATTTTTTAAGAAAAGAATGAACAAACCTGAAAAGCTCAGCAGCATTATTTTGTGTGTTCAGAAATTCAGCACTATTAGGTATTTTCTGTGAATATGACAGTTGAGAATTTGTACTCTAAGCCTTGAAACTGAGATTTGAACAACTTTTTTGGTCTTCATGTGTATGATATATGTTCACTGAAGTTGTGAGATGTTATGTATTGTGTTTCTCTTTTTTTACAAAAAACATACGTTTAATTTCTGAAGAAGTGAAAGGAAAAGTCCACTTTTCCTTAAAATAAAATGAAATTAGTTGGGTTTGGTTTTCTTGCAGAGAAGAGCAGAATAAAGTCTATCCAGATGACTTTTATCCTAGACATTAATTTTAATTTTTTTGCATATGACTGCATACTTTCCTTAATGTTATTATATAATATTTTCAAAGTTACTATTGAAATGGCCTGTTTTGAGAGTAACTGTGGTGCACAAACAGTTATTTCAGGCTTAAAAGATGAATGATAGACACACATTTAAAATGAGAGTGGGGGGAAAAAAAAGATAAATGTGAATATTAGTCAAAAGAAAGCAAAACATCACAAAATTCCTGTGCAGAGTTTTATTCAGGTAGATGGATAGAATAGCCAGACCTCTTCCATTTTTATGGCAAAATGGTAGAAATTATGTATAACTGCTAGACAAATTGCAGTCTCCACACAGAAAAATGTGTGGAGATTTCAAATTCTGTCTTTCCTTTAGGTTTGGGGAGTTCCCTAGGGCTTCTGCAGTTACTTTCGTGTCTCATCATATACCTTGCAATTTCTTTTACAGTATGTCATCAAAAAGTTAAACCTTAAAAATGCTTCCAACCGAGAGAGGAAAGCAGCAGAACAAGAGGCACAGTTGTTATCCCAGCTGAAGCACCCGAACATAGTCACCTACAGAGAGTCCTGGCAGGGGGAGGATGGCCTGTTGTATATCGTTATGGGCTTCTGCGAGGGAGGAGATCTCTATCACAAACTTAAAGAGCAGAAAGGCAAACTTTTGCCTGAGAATCAGGTGGTGGAGTGGTTTGTCCAGATTGCCATGGCGCTGCAGGTAAAATAAAGTATAACTTTGTCATGTTCAGATATAAATTTGGTTTGGCTCTTTCTGCATTTAAAAATTCCACAGTTAGGGTGCTTTGAATTCCAGTTGGCCGTGTTAGCATCTAAATATGATGGTTGTTAATACATTAAAAGTGTTCACAGGTCACTGCAGTCAAATTAAGCATTTTAGGTAAGGAATTGCTATCATATTTTATGTCTGTGCCTCTGTATCAGAGTAGACCATGGTAACCTCCAGGATATTTGCAATTCTAATCTGAAATGCTTCTCTGGTTTGAAAGTTTAGATTAACTTTCCAAAATGTAGTTTAACAAAAAAAGCCCCAGATTATTCCAGAAGGATTTTGTGTTCTGTGGTTTTGCTGGTGTTTTTCAATGGTAAATTTTGACTACTAATTCATTGTTTCTGTTAAATCTTATCTCCCTCTGTTGAAATTTAGTAATTGAAGGTTATCAAACTTTAAAGACAATTGTTATAGTAATAAAGACCAGATATAAATATTAACACTAAGAAATAAGAAATTGGACAGAAAATTCTGTCTTAAAGCTGCCTGTTGTGATCAGACATACGCAAGTCTACAGTACTGCCTGTCCTTGTTTATTGTAAGACTAATTTTCGTCCCTGTTTACACAAAGCTCACATTGTATTTTCCAATGAAATTTTATCTTTAAGACTGACAAATGATTGTCAAGGAATGAAGGCAGAAGAAAATGAGTTCAAGTCTGAGTCTCAACTTTACATTTTTCTTTCCTGCTGGCTTGTTAGAGCCACACAGGGAGATTTCACTAAAGCAGTGCCGAGTTTTAGGTCCATGGCTGTATCAGTCATTCTTAATGTTAATTCACTAATACTGTCTTTAGCAAAGGCACTCCTGACTTTGATAGTGATGTATGTGTCTTTTCTGTGTTTATTTTCCCTCTTTCTCGGGTAATGTGATTTTACTTTTCAGCGTAGAAGAACCAATAAGGAGTTATTTAACTCTATGTATGTGTTTTTTCCCCCCAGTATTTACACGAAAAGCACATTCTTCACAGAGATCTTAAAACTCAAAATGTTTTTCTGACACGAACAAATATAATCAAAGTGGGTGACCTGGGAATAGCCAAAGTGCTGGAAAACCAATACGACATGGCCAGCACTCTCATAGGCACACCGTACTACATGAGCCCCGAGCTCTTTTCTAACAAACCCTACAACTACAAGGTAGAGTATGTTAATGTAAATGTTGTTTCTGTTTCATTAGGCAACTTATTTTGTTTGTCTGAGAACTTTACAATCTTACCTATTGTTTTAAATTTCTTATTGTTTACAATTCTTTTTTTTTTTTTTTTTAATATCCCCAAAGACCAAACAAAAAAAAAATAGGAGAGAGATTTGCAGTCCTTCATTTCCGGAACTGTGTTGGCTGCAGTAGGTGGGAATTAATAGCGTGTGATAAGTTATCGCAGACAAGGTGTTCAGCCGGCTGCCTGTACCTATCATGGCACGCCAATGTAAACAAAAATATCAGTCTATGTTAGATAGCTCCATTTTCTAAATCTATTGTACAACAGACAGGAAACTTTGTACTCAAAAGTCTGTATTAGACATAACAGCAGCATTGGGAAAAAAAAAGACATTTTAATTAGAGAAATAAGCAGCGTTGCTGTGAATTTAAGATGTAACAAAATAAAGCAAATGTGCTCTTGTATACCTGTTCAGCTTTTGCTGCAAACCACACGCACCATATATATGAGTGCCTACAAGGAGCAAGTGCTGAGGGGAAGCTGTCCCAATGAAAAATCAAAAGATTTTATTGATTTGCCAGTGAGATCCAATGTTATACTTAAAAATAAAACAAAAAAACCATACAAACAGCAGCTTTCTGCACTTCTTTTCAGAAAAATCAGGTGTTATTTCGAAGAAAATAATTCAGCTGATCGAAATTAAAAATAAAAGAGTGAGACTGAAGCCAAAAGTTTGCAATGGAGTTTGGTTTTAATTAGTTTACTGTCATTAAAGGCCTCTTTGAAAGTGGGTGACTAAGTCTGGAGATAAAACTTTTACAATTAATAAAAAGTTCTCAAAACATTTTTTTCCACTTTTTTCAGTCTGATGTTTGGGCGTTAGGCTGCTGCGTTTATGAAATGGCTACACTGAAACATGCCTTTAATGCTAAAGACATGAACTCTTTGGTTTATCGAATCATTGAAGGAAAGGTAAAATCTTCTCAATTTTTTTTATCTGTGCTTGGATTTTTGGTCTAAAATTTGAGATTATCTTTTTCCAATCAGAAATATTGCATGGAGTTAAATATTTTGCATATTACATGCATCATCATATATGTTGCGAGACTGGTATTTCATGGCAGTATATGATGTAATATCAGACCCAGGAAGTTATTAATTTGCAGATATTGTGAGAATTTATTGTTATCCTTTCATGTAACTAGTATAGTGATTAATTTTCCAAGTTCTGAGATGACTTACTTTCTTAATTTGCTTCTTGTGTAAACACTGTGCAAAGAAATAAATCGCTGTTCATGTGATGACACTTTCCTGTTAGGTAAGACTAGCCTATTTAAGCTTATTACTTGTTTTGGAATATGATGATGTTAACATGGATTTGTTTTATATAAATATTTATGGCTAGTCATTGAACTTTAACTGATTATATTAATAAAAAAAAATATGATAAATTATTAGACAAACACTTCAAATTTCTATATTCTGTTTGATGGGTTGTTAAGCACTTGGGTAGCTTTCAGGATATGAACAATGGGACTATTTTTTATCCAAAGTACCTAGCTGAATATGACTGTCATGCATAAATAATCTGGTGGTAGCCCCTATTGAGAAGTGTATTAAATAGTATCAGACTTCCCTTTCCATTTACAGCTGCCACCTATGCCGAAGGATTACAGCCCACAGTTGGTAGAAATAATACGAACTATGCTCAGTAAAAAACCCGAGGAAAGACCTAGTGTGAAAAGCATACTACGACAGCCGTATATCAAGCACCAAATTTATTTGTTTTTGGAAGCCACGAAGGCGTAAGATATTTTCACTTGGGTGATTTTATGCAAAATATTCATGTTATGGTGGTCTTTGTTTTACAACTTTTCCTGGTTTCTATAGTAGGATAAAATTAGTATGTGCAGTTACAAAGCGTATGAAGATATGAGTTTCTTTAGATTCTTTGAGAAATATAATTGGAGAGAATTAGAATGGAAACTAGTTTTTTCTGCAAATGCAGACTAAAACTGTGCCGTGGTTAGGATTGCTCAGAGAGTTTAAAAAAAAAATAGCACCAGTATTTTCAGGGAAGTGGAGGAAATATGCATCTTTCCTTACGGTTCTTTGAAGCCATTTAGCAGCTGAGCGTTGTAATGCCAAGTTCCTTTTGATATTCAATGATACAATTTTTTTCTTTGTCAAGTTTAGTCAATTTTTTACTGTTTCCAGATAGTGCTGATCTTAGTGCCATGCAGAACAAGTGTATGTTGCTGGCAGAGTCTGAATGATGCTTTTAAGCTCCTTTCATAGAGATGAAAATGAATGTGTTGTGCACAGTCTGTTGAAAAAGTCCCATATCTTATACTCTTTGTATGTAAGCTGTTCAGTAGAATGGATTTTTTAATTAGTATAATCTGAAGAAATATTTTAAGGTCTTGTTGCTGGTGATTGTATGAGCAACTTCTATTTTCTTTACAGGAAAGCAGCCAGAAGTCATAAGAAAACAGTGAATGCTAAACCGAAAGATCCTTGTTCTGTGGTCGGAGTAAAGAGTGAGCCTCCTAGGACGAATGTTACACACCAAAACCACTCTTTTAAGCAAGCCAGGAAATATAAAGTTGTGAGAGAGAGATTTTTTTTTAAAGCACTTTTTCTAGAGAAAAAACTCAGTTTTATCAGAAATGCCTTGAGCATTTGTGAGAACATAGATCTGATTCCTAGCAATGTGTGAAATTCATATTAAGGAAGGAATTGTGTTTAGGCAAGGGTGGAAGTAAATAAACAGCAGTGGATTGGTAAAATGGATTGCAATGTCTTAGATATTAACTAAACAACAACCAGTTTTTCATTTGTGGGTCACTGTGTGGATTACTCATGGAATACTTGAGGTTAACTATTTTTTCAAGTATTTGATGACAAATGGTAATAATTTTTAAATACTTGTTTTTCCAGTCAAAAACATATTGTAGTTACATACATAACTTGTTTCTTGTTGGAATTATTTCCAGTGGTTAAAACAAATATTTTGTAATGCTAAATCTTGTGCATGTTTTTGATGTTTTGTAATGAGTCTGCTATTGTGGGTTTAAGCTTTCAGTGTTGAAATACTGAGCTTATGTGGTGTAGTACATCTTAAAAATTGTTGGTACTTGTTGGCTCCTCCCTTATGGAAGAGCCAAGGGAGTACATATTTTCTTTTGTGATCCTGGTGAAAAGTAGGTGTACTGCACATACGTAAACCAATGCCTGAAATACGTAATTTGCAAATACAGTCCATATCCCTCTCTTTAAAAATGTAGGTTGTGGGTTTTTTGGGGCTCTTAATCTATAATTGATCATAATTTCATTTCAGTTCATGTACTCTGGTATGTTAATGATTTTCCTTTGGTGCTTAGAGTATTCTTTCATATGTGCATAATACATAAAAGGTAATTCATTTTTTTGTTTTCCTTTTAATTCTAGAATGAAGAAGACTGCATGATGAAGTCTAAAGCCACAAAACTTTGTCCCTCAGAGAAACTGGCTGTTGAGTTGGAAAGAAAACCAAGCAATAATGATTTGAACAACCTGGGAGACTCCTTAGCTACAGTTAGTCAAGTGAATATTGATATCTTACCATCTGAAAGGATGAAGTGTGGAAGTGAGAAGTGTGGCAGTGAGCATATTCCAGAGAATAAAGCAAAGTGTTTAAATGTTCCAGGGAATTCTAAATTAACATCCGGTAGCCCACCAAGTAAGGAAGATGGACTACAGCAAAGAGCAAAGCAAGTTTTTAAAGCTGAAAATGTTGAGTCTAAGGAGTCTTCTGTTGATGCTGTAGAAGAAGATGGTGACACTCTGAAACTTCTGCAGCCTGTATCAAAAGACAAAGAGCAAACTGACCTGGTAATGCATTTATGCTTACTTGAAATAGACTTTGAAATAGATTTAACTAGTGACCAGCTCTTAAAATTTAGAGAGCTGCTACGCATGTTTTTTCTGTCAGAGTAGGATGCTGCTGATGCACTTACTGAGGTACTTAAGTAGTGAGAAGCCTTGGCTTCAGATTTGCAAAAGCAACATGGTGAAGTAGTTTTAGGCTTGCATCTAGATTATGGAAGTTCTGTTTTTACAGGGAACAACAATTTTCTTTTCCAGCTGAGAAGAGAGATGGTAAGAACAGTTTTGTAACTTCTTTGTTCTATGTTCTAAATAGGTGTTTTGTTCTACAATGGGATTTTTGTGTGCACTTTTCTAATGATAAACCATTATCTATTGTAGAGTTTGGATTCCACTGAAAAGCTGCTAGTACCATTTGTTCCTGTTGTAATTCAAGTAAGTGTCCTCCTTTGATGGTTTAGTAGCTTTAAAACGCTGGTACAGCAGGTATTTTTTCTAACTGTCTATCAAGTAAGAGTTTATTATGGTTGTAACTGTGATATGTTAATGTGGATGTGGTTCAAATAGTAAAGTGGCCTGTGTTGATTTTTTTTTTTTTTTTAAAAGCATGTATGTGTAAATCTGGAAATGGAATGTCTACATTCAAAAAAAATATTCTGCTTATTAGGATGACGTCGGTGATGGAGCTTTGGGAAATGCTCAGGAAAAAATTACCTCCCATTTGCAGCCTCATAGTTCTGTCAGTGAACCCTCTCTCTCATGGCAGCGACAGCAGAAGAAAAGAGAGCTAGCCGAAGTCTGTTCAGAGAAGGTGCAGACACTCAAAAAATAATTCTCCTCTTTCCTTTAAGACCCCTGCATTTTTTACTCTTTAAAAATGGGACCTGTTTTTTTTAAAAGGATGGGGTTTTTTATGCTGTCCTTGTTTCATGTGTATCTGTGTAACTCCATTGGTAACAAAACACAGAACAATCAAGATGTCCTTTAGAAGCAGTCTTTGTAAATCTTTGAAAATCTCAGTAAACCCTCAGAAGTGTGAGGTGAGTGTGCCAGCTGGGCACAAGGAAACACTGAAATGTGAGCTTTGCCTTTGCTGTGCTACAGTCTCTCCTAGCAGTTTCCATCAGGACTCCTCACTGTTTGTGACTACAAAATCTATAGCAGTACTTTTCCTGACTGTTTTGGATAGGACCACTTGTAGCAGGTGGTAGATTACCAGTATTTTAGAACAAAGGCATGTAATGGCTGTCCTGAGTTTACGAGTGCAAACTCTGTGAAGAAAATCGTGGCCCTTACACATGCACATAAGACAGGGCTCCTGCCAATGCTTCCACACTGAGCAGAGAGATTTCTTTGAGGAAACGCACTGGCTATACAAGGGTAGAGAAGAGGGGGATTGGTTTTCAGTATGTTATCTTAATTTTTTCTTGGATTTTACTCTTTGAGAGTGGGGATAGTTGCAAAAGCATTGTCCAAAAAATAGTTTGGGAGGAGGGGGATGAGATGTAGAGATGGGGAGAAGGGATGCGGATGCCAGCAGAGGTGTGGAGAGGCAGGGATGAAGTTGGGAGATGTGAGTGGGTTACAGTAGGATCCAAAACCTCTGGCATCCAGCGTTACTCTGCAAGACTGTCTTCTAGATTGCAGAGTACTTCAGCTTTTAATAAAAAGGTATATTCTTGCTCCCTTCTTTTTTAAGTTCAGAGCAGCTGCCTCTCGGCCTTTACCTTTTCCTTCTGCTGTGAATGTAAAGACAAGACAGAGGTGTGCAGAGCAGCATGCTGCTGAAGTCTCTGAATCTGTAAATAGCACCAAAAGCAGTGAAGTTGCCAGTTCAAAGGTTAGTGCTGAATACTGTGTCAGCTTATTTTTGTCTCTTATTCCTTCTGAGCGGTTTGTTCTCTTGAGTGTATGCACAATGAGTAAAGAAATTTATAGTAGCTTCCTACCTAATCAAAGTCCTCTCAAGCACCCCATCAGTGTGGGGTGAGAAGTTGCCTTGTTGAAATAGGGAGGTCCGAAGCTCCTTTCATAGTGCATATGTCTCATGGACCAAAACTGTTTTGTAAATAATTAAGCATTTGATAGATGATCAGAAGGTCTACTCTAATAGTTCTCTATTCCATGTCAATTGAAAATTTTTTTTTGCTTTATAGGTGATTAGATTGCAAAAGCCACTGTGATGATTGCTAATTAATATAAAATTAACTTATTTTGAAGGAGCGGCCCTTGTCAGCAAGAGAACGAAGGAGGCTGAAGCAGTCTCAGGAGGAGATGTTTCCCTCTGGTAATTGTCGTGTTTGCATGTTAACATCCTATGTACAAGTAGGCTGATAACTTCTTTGTGAAGAAATTATAACTTGCTGTCTGTTCTTCACTAGTATCTTCAGAAAGATGCACTAAGGGTCTAGTTCTGTGTTAAGTAAAAAATTCTATTAACACGTCTGTATTTTTCTGCTTTTTATTCAGTTATGTTCAAATGTGTTTAGTGGTGACAACTTGTCTTTGAAATGTATTTGAAGCGCAGAATATACACCTTTCAGATAGAAGCTTCAGTGTTTTCTCTTAGCAAAATACCTACCGGCCTGTCTTCTGACAGATGATAAGATTTTTCTTGCATGAGCATGAAACTAATTCAAAATACATGCAGCTAAGTTGTAAATATTGTAAAAATGTCATCCTTCCAGTGATTCCAGCAAAACGAACGTCAAGTAGTGCAGTAGATGAAGCAAAATCACATATGGAAAATCATGTTAAAGTTGCTCAGTCCTCATCAGATCCCAGTATTTCTCAGGTAAACTGGGGTCATCTGCTTTTGAAATATTTAAATGCAGGCAGGGTTTGGGAAGAAGATTATTTAAAAAACCTCTCAGTTCCAACTCTGTGTGGAAGAAACTCTCAGTCAATGAGAGTGCACAGTTCCCTGTAAATATTGCTTTACAAGGCCTGGGATAGAGTACAGGTCTCTAATCCACCCTTTTGTTTGGCTAGATCAGTTTAAAATTCCAGGCTCACTGTGCATTTTCACTCCACTTGGCCGAGATGAAAACTAGGGATCTCTTACTGTTTGTTATGGGCTCTCTGAATTGCAGGGTTTATTTTATTTTGGAAGGGGAAAAAGTTTATGCTGAACTATGCTTTAATTACAGGTCAATAGTCTGCTTTAAATTTTTATTAACAGCACACTGCCTTTAGCCTGGTACATCTGATTTTGCTTTGCTAGGGGTGTTTGAACGGTTTTGGTTATATTTTATATTTTATTCATTTATTCCCTCCTCACTTAGAGAAAGAGAGAAACCCATTACCTGTCTGATGATGAGTTAAGCTCTTCTACAAGCTCTACAGATAAGTCTGATGGAGATTCCAAGGAGAAGTAAGTGTTTTGTTTAATACTGTGCAAGAGTTTTCACTGCTGTGTCGGACCTTGACATGGGGTGGGGAAAAAAATGGCAGGAATTGCCTTCACACTTGATCTCTACATAGCGAGTGAGTGAAGAATTATGAGAGATTTCTTTATACATAGAGAAAATGAACTCCATTTGGTTATTGTCTCTCTGTGACTATAAAATTTCCATGCTGAACTTTCTGGGCCATGTGATTGTGTACCTCTGGTGTTTTGTCAACTGTAGCTTCCCAGGAAACCAGTCCTTCAGCATCAAAGGACATATACTGTCAGGATGCGTTAAAAGTGTGAGTTCAAAGGTTGCAATATGCTTCTTTCCACTGTGAATGGGCCTGAATTTATTTCTGATTTTGTCAGTGTAAGCAACTTCAAAAAAAAAAAAATTTGTTGCATTACCACAGGTGCAGCTACACAGGTAGCGGTAGCTGACAGGATTGTGAATTGTTGCTACATAAATGTGCTCTGAGCCTTTTTTTAGATGAACTACTGCTGATATTGTTGATAAAACTGCACCTCAAGTAATGTAATGTAATTTAACATGGAATACTTAGCACAAAACCTATTGAAAGTCCTCTGAATGCGAAGTGGAAGTTGTGTCATGAATGGTGACTGGATTATGCCTTATTTCTCCTCTACTAGAAAAAACAGCGTGAATGAAATGAATGACCTGGTGCAGCTGATGACATGGACACTGAAAATGGACTCTAAGGAGAACTCTGAATGCTGTGTAACCTCGACTCCAGCCCCAGAGTTTAAGCTTCATAGAAAATATCGAGACACTTTAATTTTGCATGGAAAATCACCTGATGAATCAGAGGAATTAAAATTTGAAGAGATTTCTTCAGGTCTGTTGCTCTCTTCTTGCTTTAAATTAGTGGTTGTCAGCTGCTAATACCCAAAGAAAATCGGCTAGTGGACAACAGAAGCCAATCCACTCTTATTTCTTCTTAAATCTCAAAATGCTTATAGAAGTAAACATATTTATAAATAATTCTGCAAAACTGATCTAGCTGTAGTTTACTTGCCAATGAAAGGAATGTGTGATCAATCTGTGTAATTATTAATGAGGAGAGAAAGCCGGTCCCCTGGCATTCCCCAGGGAATTATTTTTTCCCATGTGACATTATTAGAAGCTTCCAAAATGAACGGTTGAAGTTGGGTATTTAGAAATAAGATTTTTAAGGCATTCAGATGATCTGATAGTTAGCTTTACAGCTAGCTGCAAATTATGGCTAAAGGTGAAACTGTACACAAAGCATTAAACACAGTGGAGGTTTGTACAAGTATAGAAGTTCATTCTCATTGCAGAGTTTGGGCAAGCTTATTCTTCCTACAGATACAGGTGTGAGAATCGAATTACTTTCCATATTTAAGGTCTGGTTTGGACCTTAAGGATATATGTGTATTCCAAAAAGCAAGAAAAAATAGTATTCGCTATGACTGCGTTTACTATGCAACAAGAACAAGAGCAAAAGCTGAGGGTAGGTTTTTGAAGTCTCAGACCTTCTTGTACTTGTGTGTGTTAAGTGGTAAGGATTCTATTTGTAACTAGTCTGGTGATACGCAAAGCAGTGGGAGAACACTGGATGTCACTCTAATAAGTTGATTCTGCATAGCTAAAGTACAATATATTGAAAGAGTTTGTCTCTAAGTGGGTATGACAGAACGTTGAGGGTACCAACCAGTGGTATTTTTTTTTCTGTCTGTTTTTCTTACTCTTAAGTATTGTATAGTGAGATCCTCCAGCTACTTACTTACTACCATTTGGGGTGACAGGGCTACTGCATTTCTAAGTTGAAACTTATTTTAATTAGACCAGATATTTTATTTTCAGAAGGTAATCCATCCTGTGAAAGGAGTGTTGGTGATTTCAGTGATTAAAAAAGCAAGCTAGCGTTCTCAGTTCAGCTCCTAGTGGAGGCCTCCCCTTATAAAATTACTCTCTTGTGGGCAGCTTCACCTGAGGAGCAAAAGTTTCAAAGGCTGTTGAGACAAACAGGCAGATGACAGAAATGATGCCATTAGTGTTTTACAGTGATTAAACTTTTTTTACATTTGCTGTAAGTACAAGTGATTGAATTATTAAAATATGTGGGTGGTGGTGTAGTGTTAGAGAATAGTACTTTTCATTCAAGTAGTATCTGTACTCAGGTATACAGGAACCACCTGAAACGAAGCTACAGGGACCTAATCGTGCAAACTGTGTCTGTATTGACTTTGTACTGTCCAGTGTCTTAAGAGTTAGCATCTGAGTGCTTCTGATTCACCATGTTTGTTGATCATTTTAGCTAGGCAGTTCAGATAAACAGTTATTTCATACCAATAGTCAGCTGGAATTCTGTGGCGATACTTACAATGTCTTCCTATTTTCCTCTTCTGCATAGAGTATGAAAATTGACTATACTGAAAGTAATTACTACTGCATTCGTGTATTTTATTTTTTTTAGTAGATATGTTATCAGTTCCTGACAAGATTAGGAGAATGGTTGAAATCCTGAGATTTGATGTAGTGCAAGGATTGGGAGTGAAACTTCTTGAGAAGGTGTACAGCATCATGGAGGAAGACGATGAAGTGAAAAGAGAGGTGAATGTCTTTTGTATTAAAATTGTTTCATTTATTTATAAACCTAGATAAATGAGCAGGGTCTTTACTTCCGTCCCCCTTTTTAGATATTGATATAGTAGTAGAAACCTTGATTTCAGAAAGTGTGTATGTAGTCATTGGCAGGCAAGGGCCTAAGTGTATTGTCATTTTCAGTCTTTAAAACTTTGATTCCGAATGTAGATTACGTTCAACCACAAATTCTTCAGAAAGCATAGGAGCTTTAGAATTGTACCATGGTCCCTGAGTTTGTGGAAGATGCAAAGGATGTGAATAATTTTACTCCGTGGTATTTCTCCAATAATAACTTCTTTTGAACCATACTTTTTTGCCTTCACACTACTTTGCCTAATGCCCTGTATGTCCAAAGTGAGAAACAGGTTAATGTCTATTCCTAATAGAGGTGAGTGAGCAGTACCTCCAGCTCATTTGATTCAAAACTTGGTGTAGTGGTTTAAGCACAGACTGCTTAAA